GTCTTTTTTTTTTTGAAAATTATGGAAAAAAATTTTTTCTTTAAATAATTTTCTTCTAATTTTAATAATTTGATGAAAATTATAAAAAATTTATTAATTTTTAATTATTGAAAATGAAAATAATAATAATAATAAATAATTGAATTATTAAATTAATAAATAAAAAAGAAATTAATTTTTTTCTAAATAATTCAATTATTGAATTATTCAATTATTTAACATTCTTTTTTTTTGCTCTAAATAAATTTTTTGTTTTTTTTTTCTTTTTACGATACTATTTTTATGGAATGTAATTTTTTTTTTTTTTTTAATATATTTGTTATTTTTTTGGAAAAAAATGGCAAAATTAAGTTTTTTTTTTTTTTTTTTGGTAACTTAATTTTTTTTTAAGACCCATTTCAATTGAACAAGTTCCTCTCTCGACGGTACAGTAATCACAATGTTATTTATTTTTAATTATTTATTTAATTTTTTTTTTTTTTTGGAATGTGAGAGCTTCCATCGTGACACTGGCAACGTGAGTCAAATTAATTGTCATCAGTCTGTTTTCATTTCTTAAAAAATTATATAATTATACACATATACATATATATTATATATATATATATTTTTTTATATTACATTTTTTTTTCCTTTTTATGCTATATTTTTAAAATCTTTCTTTTCTTTTATATATAACAATATTCAACATTTTTTTTATTTTATTTTTTTTTTTTTGCAGAGCGTTTTTTCATCCTTTTTAAAAATCACAAAAAAATTCATCGAAAATTTGGATTTTTAAAAAAGAGTTAATTCAAATTTTGTTTTTTTTCATTTTTTTTTTTTTTTTTTTTATTTAGAATTTGACTCAGGTGTGCCACTGTTGGGGAAAAAAAATGTAAAGCTGGTCTGGAATGTAGTCTCTTAACCAGTCTTTGGTAAGCGGACGCTTCGCGGACAGGTTCGACGTGGTACGGTTTTCAAATTCTTCGGGGGGGAGGGGCAAGGGGGAAAAAGAGGGGGGAGGAAGTCTACCCATCGGAAAAAGGAGAAAAAAAAAAACAGTGACTAACAACAATAATAACAAATTTCTACTAAGAACAACATTATTTTTATCTAAAAATTAATATTAAAATTATATTAAAAAAAAAAAAGGGGGAAAAAGAAATAGGGCGAGGGTTTGGGGGTAAATTTAGTTTCAAAAAAAATTTGTGTTTTTCTTTTTGATTCTTAATTATATTAATTTTTTGTTATAAATTCTAAATATAGTAAATTTTTCCAAAAAAAAAAAAAAAAAAATGTAAAATTTTCCTTTTTCTTCGTTAGAAAATAATTTTTCTTTTTTTTTTTTTTTTTTTTGAAACGGTTTTTCTTTTTAGAAAAGAATTTTTTTTTAAATAGATTTTTCTTTTTTAAAGAATTTCTTTTGAAAACAAATTTTTCTTTTTAAAGAAAAATTATTTCATATTTTGTAAAAAATTTTTCATTTTTGAAAAAAAAATTTTTCGTTGTTTAGTGAAGAAAAAGGAAAAAAGAAAATTTAATTGATCATTTTTAAACGCGATAATCAGAAATACCAAATGGCGAGAAAGAGGTAAAAAAAATTTTTTCGCGTTTTTGTTTTTAAGTGCAAAAAACGTGTTTTTTTTTATTAAAAGATGAAAATTTCTTTTTGAAAGGAATTTTTTTTTTGTTCTTTCTATCGTCGAATAGTTAGACTACCACGTCGATACGAGTTTCACAATTTCCCTGTCCCTTTTTTGTTTTTTTTTTTTTTTTTACTATTTGACGCCTGCTTTCCATTTATATACAACGATAAGAATAATAATAATAATAATAATAATAATAATAATCCTAGTATGTACAGAATTCAGGAGAAACCGTATTGTGGTTGCATAAATTCAGGAGAACAAAAGTAATACTAGTATTATACAAATATACATATATATATATATATATATATATATATATATGTATATGAATTTAGATCCCAGTGACCGCCCGCAAATTTGAGATTTTTCTTTTTTTTAATTAAAAATTAAAAATTTTTAATTAGAAAAATTTTTCAATATTTAAATTTTTTTTAAATATTTCAAATATTTGAAATATTTTTATTTACCTTTAAATATTTTAAAATTGTTTTCATTTTGAAATTATTATTGTAAAAATTAATTTAAAAAAAAACGATTTTAACAAAAAAAAAATTATTGTACAATAATATTTTTTAATAAAATATTATTATTATTTTCTTATAAAAAATATTATTATTATTTAAAAATTATTATAAATTATTAAAATTTTCAAGGGGAAAAAAATTTGCCATTAATGAGTTTTATAAATGTGGGAAATTTGACACAAAAATATTTAATATAAATATATATATATATATATAAAGAGAAATTATATACTTTATACTTATATTAATTATATATGTGTCAAAAATATATTTTAACGCAAATTTATTTGACATCAATTTATGTGTCTTAAAATCAACTGGAATATATTTGACCTGTTATAATATATATAAAGGTGTAAAAGAAATTGAAAGAAATTGACGTAAAAAAAACTCAATCTTCAAAATTTAAAGAAAAAAAAAAAAAAAAAAAAATTATTAAATTTAGCCCAACTTTTGACGTCGATAATAAGCTTGAGTTAAATTTTAGACTTTAATTCCAATCAATTTAAAATTCTCTACTTCGAAACAAGTTTTAAACGAGAAGAGAGTGCAAAATGTCATTTTTTGAATTTATACACGTTTTTTGGCACATTTTTCTTTTTTTGAAATTTTTGAAAATATAATTTTTAAAATCTTAAAATATTTTAACACTTTGAGTAAAATTTTACAGTTTTACTTTCTTTTTTAAGAAAATTTTAATTTTTAATATTCTTTCAAATATTGGAAAGTTTAAAAAAAAAAAATTTCAAAATATTTCTAAGTTTTCGATAATATTTTTAATATTTAAACTTTTAGAAATACTGAAAAATTTTAAACATTAAAAGTTTTCGAATTTTTTTCAATATTTAAACTTTGAAATATGGAAAAATTTTCAAACATTAAAAGTTTTAAATATCAAAAAATTTAAAATATTTAAAAAACAACAATTTAAAATTTTCACTATTAAAAATATTTTAAAATTTTAACACTTCTTTTTAAATCGCAAATTCGGTTATTAATTCACTTTTTGTCACGATTTCACGATATTTTTTTGTCAATTTTATATCTTGTATTTTTTTCCGAATTTCAAAATTTGACAATTCTCACTGTGAATATAATTGACAGATTTTTCGAAAATAAAATTTTCTTAATTTTCCATAAAATTCTAACTGAAAAATTAATTTTTTATCATTTTCGGTTTTTCTATTTTCAATTTCCATTTCGGTTTTAATACACTCACGGTAAAAAAAAAATTTGTTTCTTTTTTTGCAATTATTGTTTCGTTTTTAAAACTTTAAGTTTCAAAAAAAACTTTGATTATAATCGAGTAAAATGATTTAAAATTTACACAGTCGCACTAAACAAACAAAAAAAATCTGAAACTTTCTTATATTGCAAAAATTTACTTTATTATAAGTCTAAATTTTGCATTTATAACTAAAAGTAAAAATTTCACTTTACTATAGTAATTTTTACAATTTTTTGTTTCAGTAAAATTTATCACATATCCAATGAGTAAATTTTAACTTAATTTTTAATTTTTATAATTTTATTTAGTAAAATTTGCCACATTAATTTGGTTAATTTTATTACAATAAAATTGTACAATTTACTCTAAGAATATAGTAAATATTTTACTGTTTTGTAAATAGAAAAATTTATACCATATTAATTTAGTAAAATTTCCAATATTAATGTGCGAAAATTTACCTAATTAATGTTATAAAAAATTTTCTTTACGACTATAGTAAAATTTACCTTATTAGTGTAATAAAATATACCTGATTATTATTGTAAAATTTACTGTAATAAAAATAGTAAAATTTACAATACTAATAAAGTAAAACTTACTCTAATAAAAATTAGTAAAATTTACCCTAATAAAATAGTAAAAATTCACAATATTAATAAATTAAAATTTATTCCAATAAAATCGTGAAATTTACCAAAATTAATAAAGTAAAATTTACCATATTAACAATCTTATTAAATTCATTCAATGGATAAAAATTCGATATTTTTTTTAACTATTTTTTTCTATTTTCGAAATAAAAACATTATTTTTCAAATTGAATCCGATTTTGACACTATATATAATTATAAGCGATTAGCGAAATTAAAGATAAAAAATAAAATTATTATTTTACACAAAAAATTGAAAATTTGAAAAAATTTTGAAAAAGAAATTTTATTCACTGAATTTCTATTTTTTACACTCGTGTGAAAATGACAATAAACCGAAATGATTTTTTATTTTTTTTTTTTTCGAAAAAATCTGTCACTTTTTCCCTAATATTTGAGAAATTGATTTTACTTTTCTAATTTCGAAAAAATACAATTTTTTTGTTTTTTAACTTCAAATTTGTATATTTCTTATGTCAAGAGAAGAAAGAGAATCAAAATTTCAAAAAATTTTCAAAAAAAAAAAAATGATTACCAATTTTTGTCCGACGGCAAATATATTTACAATCTGTCAATATCAATTTTCACCGGTGGAAAAAAAAAAATAAATTTTGCACAATTTTCACTTTTTACACTCGTTTTTTGAAAAATTCCACCAAAATAATATTTGTAATAAATTTTAAACAATAATAATTTCACTCGAATTTTTTTTTTTTTTTTTTGTTTTTCAATCAAAAAAGCAAAGAGGTCTGAAAAGGGATCATCAAAAAAAAAAAATTATCGTGAACGAGAACGACGCGATAATGATGACAAGTAATAATATATTAATCATTACTATATATTCATCTATATTTGATTCTCAAAAAAAAAAACAAAAAAATCATGAATTTACTTTTTTCCTTTTCTTTTTATATTATATATAAATATTTTTCTCGTATGTATATATATATTCATATATACTTACTCTTTATACAGAAGGGATTTTTCATGAGGGGACTCGATGTTCAAGAATCGCACGTCTCTTGCATTTTTTTTTTTTCGAAACAAAATTTTTTTTCCCCATCTCTTTTTTTTAAAACATTTCGTGGAACAACCGTTTTTTTATTTAAATCGTTCTCGTTTTTAAAATCGTAGTTTTTAAAATCAGTTTTTTTTTATAATCGTTTTCTGTTTTTAAAATAGTTTTTTAAAAATCGTTTTTTGAAAATCGTTCTCCTTTAAAAAAAAAAAAAAAAAAAAAAAAATCGTTTAACAATTATTCTCTTTTCGTACATTTTTTTTTCTTTAAAGAAATCATTCAACAACCATTTTTCTGTTACAACAACCGATTCTTGATTTTTGGAAATTTCTTTGAAAATTCGATTTTTACATTTTTTTAATCGCGCACTATCCTCCCCTTTTTTTTTTGCATCGCAAAGACTTTGTTTTTGAGACGCGCGCGACGTCGCTCACTTAAACTAGCAAAAAAAAAAAAAAAAATTTATGTTTTTTTTTACTTTTTAAATCTGTGGTACATTATTTACAGTTCATATTTACTTTTATGTTACATCATTCGTTTTCACGGGTTTGGTTTTTTTTTTTCCAATATTTGCTTCAAGCAAAAAAAAATCGCCCGACGAAAACCACTTTTCTCTCCTAAAAACGCGATTCCAATATATATTTGTTTTTTTCATTTATTTATAATATAATATATATTTTTTTGTTTTTTCTGTCCTGCATTAAAGTCCTTTAAATAACAATTGTTCATTTGGAAAAAAAAGAAAAAAAAAAAAAAATTTTTAAACTCGTTGAAAACACGCAGTGAAAGGAATATCCGACGGTAGAATTAAGACACTGAGGTTTTAACGAGTTTGGGAATTTTTTTTTCCTCCTTTTTTTTTCGTGGCAAAAATAAGGAAAGCCTCCCCCGGGTTTTGCAGACCCGGATTTTTGTTCCTCGTGATTAATCCCAAGTATAATCCTTATAGTAGAGCTACGAATTTGAATAGCTGCTGGTGCGCGCTTGTAAATAATGATGATAGAATGGTGGTAGCACTGATTCAGGTGTTCCTGATGAATTTCCTTGGGTTGTGACGAGGCCCAATGGGGGAGGCCCCGGCGAACGCTAGTGAGCCGCTAATGAATGTGCCGTGAGACCCTGAGGACTAAGCATTGGTGGACTATGACTGTGGCCCATTGGCGAACCATGTAAATGATCCTGCGGATGATAACCCTGATGAAGACCACCTTGACTTTGATGACCTGGCGGTAGACCCTCCATCATACCGTCGCCAAGTGTATTTGGTGGTGTCATACGTTTCTCCTTTTGCCGTCGATTACAAAACCAAACTCTAACAACTTCTTTTTCAAGTTGTAAACTATCAGCCAAACTCGTTATTTCCTGTGCTGATGGTTTTGGTTGTTTATGAAAATGTTGTTCCAATGCACCCTTAACCGAAACTTCAATTGATGTTCTCTTTTTTCGTTTTCTACCTTGTGCGGCAATTTTATCAATATTTGTCGGCGAACCCGTTGATGAATCAGCCTCCTCTAACCATTTTTGTAATAGTGGTTTTAGTTTACACATATTTTTAAAACTCAATTGTAATGCCTCAAACCTACATATCGTCGTTTGGGAGAAAACATTGCCATAAAGAGTACCAAGTGCGAGGCCAACATCGGCTTGAGTGAAACCAAGTTTAATTCTCCTTTGCTTAAATTGTTTGGCAAAGGCTTCGAGATCATCGGATGTTGGTGTATCCTCCTCGCCGGCACTATGATCCCTATCCAATGGATGTCCGGGATGTAAAGGATGTCCCGATGGTGGACTATGATTGTGGGCGTCACGTAAATGATGAGGCAAACCGGCTTGATGATTGTGTAATTGATGTGGATGCTGATGGGGATGTTGATGGAGCATACCATTCATTGCCGCATGATAGACGGATTGTTGAAGGGTTGTTGGCGATGCTGCGCCACCAGTTGGATTATAATGTGCTGATGGTACAACTGGTGCATGCCAAGAATGTGGCGATGCCATACCAGGTGATTGATGGGGTCCACGATGATGCATACCCTGATCGGTAGCTGTTGCGGCGGCTGTTAATGGTTTAACATCCAAATTTGCTTGATGTGGATGATGATGTGGATGATGGGTGGTATGATGCATACCCATTGATGCTGCCCATGGATCGGGTACCCATGGATTTGCAGACGAGAGACTCGCTGCCGAATGTGATAATCCATTTGGCGACGGTGATGAATTCACCTGATGATGATGATGATGGTGATGATGATGTTGTGGCGCGGGCATATATTTCATTTCCCCAGCGTCGGCTGCACTGCGGGGTGAACCCGACGAATAGCCACCAACGGCGATGTTCATTCCGATCGTGGAACCTGAACCACCATCCAGGTCTGAAGATACTGCACTACTAACCGGCATGTACGTGGTAGCGGCCATCTACTTCCTTACACTTTAACTAAAAATACCTCCTTGAGGTAGTTTCGTGCCACCAGGCACACATTAAATACCCTCCTTTTTTAGGGTTGAAAAAAAAAGCTTCCTTTTTTTGTATCACCAATTGTTCAAGTTCCTCCAAAATTCCCGTATGGTTTACACTGTCCGACACATTTGAACTGACATGATTAAAACACAAATTACACACGCACTTTTTTGCACGATCCTTGTTTGGGGGTTAAAAAAAAAAAAAAAACACTGTAACTCCTTGAAGCACTGTAAAACCGGAAATGTGTTTTTATTTTTTTCTTTTTGGTTACCGAAAACACCCACGGGGGGAAAAAAAAAAACTAAGAGCCGAGGGAAAATGAGAGAGAGAGAAAAAACAGTAAATAGAGAAAGATAGACGGACTGAAGGAGAGATTCGGCTAGCTCTCATGCGTTATGCATGTCATAGCTGAGAGCGACTGACTGCCTCGCCTCGCAGCTCGCCTGAGGTTCCCTAAGGTCCCGAGCAGGTTAGGTTTCTGTCATGCGCGAACATTTTCATAAAGAAGTGGGGATACCCTACCACCTAATGTTGGTGATGAAAATACGCCGATTGGTCAATGTAGCAAGGTGGCCGTCGGCAGCTACGTCATCGGTAGGTTGGCACTCGATTCATATTGCTCCGCCTATTTCATCCCACTTTTGGGATCTTTTCCAACAAAACACCCCAGGCGCCGGTCCTTTTATCCCTTTGCTGCTGCTCGCGGCGCACTCGGGTTCTACTCATTCTCTCTCTCTATCTATCTTTCTCTCTCATGCGCGCGTGTGTTATAAACCCCCTATATATGAAATGAAACCAAACCAACAACACAACCAACTTGGGTCGTCGCAACAACGCTCCTGTGTCGTGTTTCGTGCTCCCGTGACGTTTCCAATTTTTGAATATATATACTACTTGAAATCTTTTACCTTTTTTCTATATATGTTTATTACTACACAAATTCTACTAACATGCACCCTTAATTTTTCCCTCTATGGTTAGTATTTATAAAATTAAAAACATGCTTTACGTACCTAGTGGACAGGTGTCATATTTTCAATTTAGAAAATAATGACTTCTTACGATTTGATTTTCTAAAGATATAATAATAAATTTACAATTATCCATTTGGTCTTATTTTGAACAGTAATGCCAAAGGAATTGTAAATAATTACGATTTGGTTTTCTAATACAATTTTTTAAACGATGATTCTTTCTCGGATATCTGAAACAAAAAGAAAAGTTTTATTAAATAAAAAAAAATTGTTTTTATTATATATATACCGCTACGATTTGGTTTTCTATAAAACAAATTTTCCAAATGATTCTTTCCTCCTTTCTGCATACTGAGAGAAACTGAAACAAAAAGAATATATATAGTATTAGTAAACGAAAAAAATATTTTTATTCTATAAAATTTGGTTTTATGATATAAATTTTTTAAACTTCAGAATGAATCCACCTTGCAATACTGATATCTGAAACAAACAGAAAAATATTAATAAATAATTAGTAGAACGGAAAAATTTTTTATACGGAAAATAATATTTAAGGATAAAAAATCAATTATATTTGAATATTAAAAACTTGTGTAATTTTATTCCTTATTATAAGGGGACAATTTTACAGAGTGTTTTTATGCCGCGCGCATATCCCACACGGATATTCGCGCGTAAAAGACAATAATTTAATTTCTCGGTGCAACAGGTTAACAATTGTAACTAATATATACATTTGCTATGGCGATATTGAATATCGGAAAAGGAATTCATTGGATTTTTTTTTTAATAAAATTGACCTTATATGGTAGTCGGAAACTCAAATACCCACATATATACACATATATACATATTAAGGTGTGTATATATAGCTTTAACCTAACATTTAGGTAGCACACATTTTTAGGTATATATATATATATATATATATATACATATGTATATATTTGCAAGTCGATGCTCCCAAGAATTTGGCTACTACTACCTGAACAACTTTAAAAGGGATTTTTTTCGGGGGGTCTAAACCGAGACTGCAGATGGGCAGTCATCGATTGCGTCCTGTAAGGGGAAGTTGCATACCCCCACTCTACCCGCCGGGCCATAAACACGGAGCTCGAGGGACGCATGCACCGCGGGGGGCCTGACCGACGTTCTCGGGCCTAATGACATTTTCTATTTATGGCCCTTAATGAGTTTTTCCAAAAAAAATAAAAAAATTTTAAATATTAACAATTTTTAATTTTTTTTAACATATTCTTATTCCTCGTAATTTCACGATTACGAGCATATGTTGTTCGAATTAAAAATGTTAATATTAAAAATGTTTATAATTATTATTAAATAATATTACATTTAATTGTTTCTTAATTTAATTATACTGTTTAAAAAACAGTATAAATTAACAAACATTTTCCTTCACACTTACAGGCTTAGGACTGGCAGCATTTCACTTATTCGTGAAGGCTGGCGTGTTTAAAAAATGTGTGTTTATTTATACAAAACAGAAAATCAGAACTTTTAAAAAATTTGCTTGTAAGCCAGTATAATATGAAAGCTTTATTAAAATATATTTGGTTTTATTTAATACATATTTGACTTGTAATGAATGTAAATTTTTATAATAATATAGAGGCCAGTCCTAAGCCTGCGAGTGTGAAGGGAAAATGTTTGTTAATTTATACTGTTTTTTAAACAGTATAATTAAATTAAGAAACAATTAAATTTAATATTATTTAATAATAATTATAAACATTTTAAATATTAACATTTTTAATTCGAACGACATATGCTCGTAATCGTGAAATTACGAGGAATCAGAATATGTTAAAAAAAATTAAAAATTGTTAATATTTAAAATTTTTTTATTTTTTTGGAAAAACTCATTAAGGGCCATAAATAGAAAATGTCATTAGGCCCGAGAACGTCGCTTAGGCCCCCCGCGGTGCATGCGTCCCTCGAGCTCCGTGTTTATGGCCCGGCGGGTAGAGTGGGGGTATGCAACTTCCCCTTACAGGACGCAATCGATGATCGCCCCTGCAGATTGACCAGTCGCGCAACAGGTACTCATTCCGTGTGATTAATTACCCCCATGTCCTGTGAGCCACGGTGTCAATATATAGAAACGGACGAGAGAGAGAGAGAGAGAGAACTATATATATATATATATATATATATATATATATATATATATATATATATATATATATATATATATATATATATAGGGAGACAAAAAAAGTAGCTTGTTTCGTTGGGCACCAGGTTTAGTACATTTAAATGAGAGCCACAGGTAGGAGAGCATTATGCAGTACGTGCCAGCCACCCCGTTAAGGTGGGGTGAGTTAGATCATCGCGTATATGTATATAGCGTGCGCACTATATACTCAGCCGCGACTCCACAGGGATCTTCGTGTGTCATATATATATATATATACATATATATAGGTATATATATATATATATATATATATATATATATATATATATATATATATATACATATACACACAGTGTTTCGTAACGACTTTGCCACTTTCGCACCCGACAGATCTGTTTTACAAGTAAGACATTTGCACCGGCGGTTCACGATTTTAATATTAATACACCTGCCAACTATGCGCCTCAACTATACTAGCTATCCTATATACATATATATATATATCTATATACACTTTGATTGGATCTTATCAAACTTGTCCCCTTTTTCTTTACGCTTCTTTTAAATTTGATTATTTTTCTTTGCGAAACCTATATATATATATATATATGTAACGAATTTGAATTTTGGAAGATTTCCACTATTTTTAAGTTTTGTTTATATAAAAAAATGATGATAATTTTATTGAGAGGAAGAGTTTTAAAGTTAAAAAGGTGTCTTAAAATAAGGGTTATGAAAAACTTATTTTTCCTTCATATAAAAAAAAACTTTTTTATTATATATATCACTCCTTATCCCTATGGGAATATAAGGATAGTGATTATCTACGCTTTCGAAATGATATATATGAACTAAAATTGGGTATATATGTGGAAAATTTTCACAATTTCTTAATATATATATATATATATATATATATATATATATATATATATATATATATATATATATATATATATATATATATATATATATATATATATATACTTGAAACGTCGAGATTTAGGGATCTATGTTCGTTTTTTTTTACGTAATTCCTTCGAAATCCTATAAAGGTCGAAGAGGTGAAAGCGTGTGGTTGCGCCTCTCCTCATCCTCTGACATATAACGTATATATCAAGCAATCGAACCGTTTACAGTTTTTTGACCTAAAAAGAAAAAAAAATGCCTTTTAGTATAACCCGTGTGTCTTTTAGGCGCATATTTTAATTTACGTCCCTCTCGAAAAAATTTATAATGAATGTCATTCTAAAAGCTTATCAATTTGGTGGGTATATATAAAAATAGAATTTTATATAATACCGCACTGGGTAAAACGAAATGTATTTTAATATCGACTTTAGGTATACTATAATAATTGCGTCAATTTGATTCTATTTTGATACCTAAAATAGGTACTGTAATTTCCTTTTACAGTGATTAATATATATATTTAAAATTATTTTTAATAACAAATGAAAATATTTTTAAAATCTATATTTGTTTCTATTATTTTTCTTTCGCATCCGCAAAAATTATGCACGGAGAAAAAAGAGTTTGCCTATTATGCGGATGAATTTTTAGCTCTAGAGCTATAATATTTAGCTGCCACAGCAAAGCATATTAGCTATGGAAGCTAATTATTAGCTGTATTAGATAACAAAAATTATTATCAATAGCAATTATGGTTAGCTAAGGTTACTAAATTTCAACTAATATAGCTAACTATTTGTCTCCGTGCGTGTATTTTTGAATAATACTACTTGAAAAATCTTTTACCGTTTCTTTATTTATGTTATTACTACAAATTCTACTAACATGCACCCCTTAATTTTTCCTCTACGGTTAGTATATTAAAATTAAAAACATGCGTTACGTACCCAATGAACAGGCGTCATATTTTCAATTTAGAAAATAATGACATCTTACGATTTGGTTTTCTAAAGAAAAAATTTACAATTATATCCTTTTGGTCTTATTTTGAACAGTATAATGCCAAAAGGAATATTGTAATATAATTACGATTTGGTTTTCTAATAATACAACTTTTTTAGCGATGATTCTTTCTCGTACCTGCGCACACATATCTGAAACAAAAAAAAAGTTTTAGTAAACGAAAAAAAATATTTCTATTATTATTTATAATTACTATTTGGTTTTTATATATGAAATATAACTTTTAAAACTCCGTGATTATCCTTCTTGCAACTGCATATATATAACTGAAACAAAAAAAGAAAAATTAGTAAACGAAAAAAATATTTTTATTTTAATATATATGAGATTTGGTTTTCACGTATCAGTTTTTAATCTTCGCAACGATTATCTTCTTGTTACTGCACGTA